ATGGAGTCTGGGAACCCCAATTCTGGTCTGGTCTTTTAGTTTGTGTTGGTGACAGGAGAAGGACAGTCTCTGGGGTTCAGGGTTGCTGGGGATTGGGTGGGTGCATCTATGTGGAATATTTGCTACATTTGAAGGGAGCAATAGTCCAATCTCAGGTCATTGCAGCTGGAAGAACATCTGCTTCTTGTCATAGTGGGATTTTTAAGGAGTAGAGGAGTTGGGATCCTGCAACCTGGTGCCTGTGGATAGCTTTTCCTTCCCCAGGTGATGGGAACATAGCCCTACCTGGGGCCTATATTCACTGGAGAGTTGGAGGTGGGGGCTAGGGCCTGGTCCTTGTCCTTGCCCATTCTCTGCCAGACAGAGCAAATGCTTTGCCCTCCCCTGAGTGTTGCAAGCTTCTTCCTCTTTCTTAGAGGTGGGTGGGGAGGGATTCCTACCCCCAGGGTGGGGTACCCACATTTCGGGCAAATGTGGCCTTCTTTGGCTTTCTCCACCCAAGTTAAGCAATGCCCCCTTCCTGTCTCCTCCTCTGTGAGCCTGTTAGTTTCCCAGCTCCTCCCCCACTCCTAGTAAACAACAACAATTTCTCTTCCTATTTAGACCCCCAGCTTCTGAGCTTCCTTTTCTGAGGTCAGAGGCATGGCTTTGGGTTTGAAGGCATCTCTTTCCTTCTCATGTAGGGGTGGAGGAGCCTGGTGATCAGAGCTCTTCAGCTCTCGGTAGGGAAGCAGGACTGATAAAGATGTCACATGTCTGTCTTGGAGATGGAGGCAGCTTAGCTTGCCCCTTGGGGCTGACGATGGGGATCAGGCTGTTCTGGGAGAGATGAGATTGGTGGCCTTCCATTCCTGAAGTGAGCAATGGTGTACTCTGGTCCTCTGAGGAAAACTCACTGAGGATGCTGCCTTTTCTTGTTCCCCACTGAGCAAAGGTGTTGGGATGGTTCCTCCAACCCCTTTCAGCTCTCTACCCAGGTGGGGTGGAGGCAGCACCTTAGGTGTTCTGGGTGTGGCCTTCAGAAACCAAGTGGCCTGTGGAAAGACAGAACTCCTCTCTGGGTCACTGCGGGGAGAGGTGGGCATTATCCTAATGCCTGCTGCATCCTCCCAGGGAGCCAGGTGGGAGGCCCCCAAGAGAGTATGAGACCTTCCTCTCCACTTTGTGCTTGGCCTCTGAGGACTGGTGTTTACTGTGGAGGTTTGGGATGCTGTGTGCATTATGGAGGGTTTTAGGGGTGAAGGTCAAGGTTGATTTTTTGTGTTAAGAAGGAAATTAAGGGGCTGAGGATATAGCTCAGTTGGTAGAGTGCTTGCCTTTCATGCACAAGGCCATGGGTTCGATCCCCAGCACCAAAAAACAAACAAGAAGGGAATTAATGGCTAGTGTGTATTTGGTGAGAGAGTTCCAGAGTTGAGTGTGTTTTGGAAGAATCAAATCCAGTGCTCCAGAGGGGGTGTTGGCTAGCTTGTTTATATGCCAGGGCTCAGGGCGGGACATGATTTATGGCATAGCTTGTGTGCTTAAGGGGGAAGTGATCTTTCGACTGTTGTGTTTGGGAGGAGAGGGTCTCTCTTTCTTATGCTTGTGTCATGGCTCTGTTCAGCTGAAAGGGAGAACTAATCTTCCTTTTTTGTTGCTTACCCCGGGAATTCCATGGGCCAAGGGGTCTGACTGGGGGCCATGGAGTGGGCATTGGAGCTTGCCGGTCAAAACTTGGACATACTATGTGTGATTACCTCTCAGAACATGTTTCCTCATTTATAAAACAGGGATATTACCAGAACCTACCTCAGAGGACTGAGTTATGCAAGATTGTCAAGGTATTGTATTCAGCTGTGTGTGGCACATGACCCTGTGCCATTGGACCTTCGTTGTTTGTAGGTGGGAGCTGGAGAGAAATGGAGGCTATGGAGTATCTGCTGTGGGTCAGGAACTTTATCTGGGTTTTACAAATCTTAATCCCTACAATTTTGGGAGAGGGAACTTACTCCCATTTACACAAGTTAAAACTTAAGGTATGGCAGAACCCAATCTGGAGGACTGTAAAGCTGGGCTGTTTCCCACCATACAGATAGGCAGGTGTGGGGGAGACACTTCCTGGGTGGAGAGCCTGGAGGGAATTCTGTGCCAATGTTGACATTCCCTCCTGTTGTCCTATTGCTGAGGCCCTGTCTCTGCTTTAGCTTTCCTGCCCCACCCCACCCCAGGGGGTGCAAGGAAGGCACCAAGCCACACCCCCTCTTCTCTGTTTTGGATTCTGAAGGCTGGAGGAAAGGGGAGATAAGATGCCAGCCGATCTCCATCCTGTCCTGGAAGTTGTGGCTACAATCTGTTCACACCCATCCCCACCTCCAGTCTGCCCGCTGCAGCCCACAAGAGTTTGCAGAGCTCAGTGGGTACCCTCCCCCCATCTTCAGACAGACACTGAAGGAACAGCATGTAAAAGCCACAGTTCCTATTATTCTTATTTTGTTTCAATTTGTGGGGTGGGTGCAGGGAAGTTCAAAGCAGTCAACAGAGGAGCCAGGGATGGGAGCCTGAAAGCGTGGCTCCAGATTTTCCATCTAGGAGTTTGCTGTGTGTCCAGAGACTGGGGAGTGTCCCCAGGGTTTGGGTGAGCCTGGACCTGAGGCACAGTGGAGGGGGCTATGCCTTCCTCTTTTCTACTTCCTCTCCTTTGCAGTCTGTACATCCTCCCTCCCTTCTTCCCACTCTCAGACCAGGGGGAGGGGATGCTGCCTAGCAATGCCTTTTCTGGGGGTCCAAAATGCAGAGTCAACTGAGAGCCCTTGGGAGAGGGAGTTGTCTGAATGAAAATGGGATCCCTCACCTTTAATCTTCCAGCATGGATAAAGCACAGGCTCTCTCAGTGCAGGCCCTTCATAGAATGGCAGTAGAGGCTCGTGGAAGGAAGCCTCTCTTTCTCTTAGGGGAGTCAGGTTCTGAGGCATTGTGTCCACCTCATGCCAAGGGATATGTGCCCATGTGGATGTGCTAGTACAGGACCTGACAGCCCTGTGAGGGGTAGTATCTGTGGAAAGAGGAAGTGGTACCTTCTCCAAGTCATGCTGGGGTGGTACCTTCTTCTCCTCCATGGCCAGGATAGACTGGAGGTCATTCAGCTCTGGCTATATCAAATAGAGGTCTTCCTCTTCCTGAAGGTGACCTGACACCCCTCTACCCTTATCTTCCCCCAAGGGCAGAAGTCCTAAAATATAGTTCTTCCTGTGTGGCCTTGGGCAGGTCACCTAACCTCTCTCTGAGTCTGTTTTGTCCTTCTTGAAGAAAGACTCCTAGTTTGTCCCTGGCTGGACTAGTTGCTGTGAGGCCACAATGACCCACTTGCTGGTGATAGCTTCTGTGAGTTTCAAATACCTTCAAGAACAGTGATAACAAGGGGCAGGGTGGAGCTGGGCATTGTCTTGGGAGATGGCCACCCTGTATTCAGATCTGGCATCAGGCCTCATGATCTGTTTAATGTCCCCTCTATTTGAAGGTGGGGACAGAAGGGAAGACACACTGCTTAGCACAAGTGGGAGCTGGTTCAGCCCACTCTTGCTCTGGGTTTGCTAACCACAAAGCCCTGGAGGAGCTGGAGCTGGGAGAATGAAGCAGAGGAGGATGGGGTCCAAGCTTCCACACCCTGCTGCTGGCCAGAGCCTTCCTTTTCTCCTCTTCTCGTACTGCCCCAGGATACTGTGTTCTGCTTTGACCTGCTGCATGACCTTGCAGTTGCCCAGAACAGGCACCTCGCCCCAGCTTTTCTTTTCTAGCTCTGGAAATCCTATCCATCCTTCAGGAACATCTTCAATGCTGCCTCTTCCCCCAAATCTTCACAGATGTTCTCCTTTCCTTGCCACCCTCTTCCTCCCTCCCTCCCTCCTTTGAATGCCTGTGGCTCCTTAGTTTTTTCTTTCTTACAACACTCATCTCTTTACCAGTTACTTCTCCCTTTCCTACAGTGAGCTATAATCATTTGGGAGATCTTGCCCTGACCACAAGGGACAGTGTCAGGTCCCTTACCACTTTGCAGCTGTGAGCATAGAGCCTAGCACATAACTGGTGCCAAAGAGCTACATCATTGGACGGAAAGATACCAAGGGCACAGAAGTACTCTGTCCTCTTCTCCAGCAGCCTCATTCACTGCCAAGAGTTGCATACCTATCCCAGCCCCCAGTATTCCTTCTGCAACCTTGACCTTCAGTGCTGAGCCCCAAACCCATCTATCTGCCCAGTAGCAGAATGACTTCTCTATAGTGCTGTCTCAGGAACTTAGCTATTGTGTAAGCTATACCAGATACCCTTTCCCACTCCACCCCACCCCCAATGATTCTTCCTATAAAATATCTTGTGAATTCACCTTTCTCTGTCCCTCACCACTGCCAGTTTCTTATGCTAAGCTACCTTTGCCTTAGCCTGGACTCCTGCAGTAGCTTCTAAATGGTCATTCTTGCCATCCTTTTTTAATCCATTCTTTTTGGTGGTGCCAGGGATTGAACCCAGGGCCTTGTGCATGCTGGGCAAGCACTTTACCAACCCCACTCTAATATATTCTTCACACAGTATGAATTTCTTCAGGTCTTGCTTCTTTGCTTGTAATCTTTTTATGACTTCTCCTTGCATTTAGGATAAAATCCAAAAGCCTTATTGAAACCTACATAGTCTGGTCTTAGCCCACTTTCCAGCCTGGTCTGATGCCTCTTTTTCCTCTTGAATTTCATCTGCATCCATCCTGTTTTCTGTCAGTTCCTTGAATGAATCATCAACTTCTTTACCTCCAGGACCTTTGCACAGGCTCTTTTATTGGAACTATACTCCTTCCTGCTCTTTTCCTGATTTCTGAATTTCTAAAATGTCTCTGCTTTGAATTTTTCCTTGACCTTGACACCTTTCTTTCAGAGCACACTATACTTGTGACATAATACTCTCTCTCTCTCTCTCTCTCTCTCTCTATATATATATATATATATATATATATATATACATACACACATATGTACATATAATGTTTTCATATTACACATTAGTAGATGTTACTCCAGAAGGTCTTCAGGATATCCACTTTATAAAAGACACTTAGAAAATACAGTTCATATTGAGTTGCTTTGGTGGAAGCATGTGCTCTGGTGACAGAAACTTGCATCTTTACCCATTATATTCATTCATAGTGTGATCTTGCAGGACTCACCTACTCTTGCTGAGATTTCAGTTTCTTTTTTTGGTGGTATTGGGGATCGAACCAGTCTCATGCAAGCTAGGAAATGCTCTACCATTAAGCCACATCTCCAACCCAAACTGTTTATTTTTAAAGCCTCTTGCAGTTGCTGTGAGAATTAAGTGACAACATATGTAAAGCACCTGGCTTCTAGAAGAATAACGTTGTGTTTTATGTAAATTCATCTCCTTCTTACAGAGCAGGGTAATAGGATACCCCTCCTCCAGGGGCATCCCCTTTTTCTAAGGACCTACCCAACCAAGGTCCTTCTTTCAAAGAAACAGACATCCTAGGCATCCTGAGGGCTTCCGGGAGGAAGTGGTCAGCTGGAAGACACCAGACCCTCCTTTTATCTCTCCAGGGCTGGACCATTTGGCTGTGAATCCTAGTTCCCTAGCTGGGAGACACCCTGGGCGGGGCTTTGCTCACCGGAAGCACGCAGAGTGGGGAGGAGAACCCCTCTGCTTGTGTTTGTGCCAACAGTACTGCGCTGCCGCGTTGGGTTCCGGCGGGCGGGCGGGCTGGTGGCCCGAGTCACACATGATGTCACAGACAGTGACACAAGCCGGGTGTCTCATTCAGACACAGTACCCAAGTTGCACAATGTCACAACCGGGACACTAGACACGCTGCGTTCGTGGCTCTAATGCTTGGCCACAAGCACCACAGCCAAGCACCACGGCCCAGCCCCACCTTCGGCCGTTCTCTGCGTGTCTGGGAGAGCTGGCCCGGCCCGGTCGGGCCGGGCAGGGGACCGGCGGGCGAACCCTGCAGGCGGGCTGGCGATCGGGTGATGTCACGGGCAGCGGTGGGTGGGTCACTCGGAGGTGAGGCGCCGCTAGGCGAGTTCAGCGAGAGTTCAGCCGCATTGCATTAGGCAAATGAGGCCGGGGCTGGGTGGGGGTGTGTGTTAAGTGGAGGACACGGGGACCACCCCACCTCCCCGGCCTCCGCAGCGCCTGCCCGGGGATTGACCAAAGCTGGGTGGGGGAGAGGCTGGGAGCCGGAACTGGGATGGGTGAGACGCCCGCCCCTCTTCCGCCCGCACCCCTCCTTTCCCCGTACCCTGCCTCCGTCTGTACTCGGCGTACTCCTCCTTTGGTTCGTTTTTCTCTTCCTTTCCCTCTTCTTCCCCTTCGAGGATCTCCCCACTCGCTCTTCACTCGTCTCCCTGTGTTTCGTCATCTACAGTCTGACCCGCCCCAAAAGGGTTAAGCCAGGGGCGGTGCCTGATCGGGGCGGGGCAGAGGAGAGGGGGTGGGACCGGAGGGAGGGGGCTGTCGGCCGGGGGCGGGGGCTGGGGGGGCCGCGGCGCACACACGGGAGACCCATCTAGCCTCCCGCGGCCCGTCCTGGCGGAGGCGGGGCCGCTCGTGGGGGTTCCCACCCCCACCCGGAATCCTCGCCCAGGAGAAGCCCGGGAGTCCCGGAGCGTTGGAGGAAGTGCTCGGAGACCCCCCCCCACCCCGCCTGCTCCTTACCGAACCCGCCTCCCGCCTGCGGACTTCGGGAGCCGTCGGACTCTTCCTCCGACACGGGAGACTTGAGATGGGAGCCCCCTCGAGGTGAAGCCGCCGAGTTCTCTGGCCTCCGCTGAGCGTCCCCTCCCAGGGACCCCAGTCTGCACACGCAACTTCCCGCTTTCCACCTGGGACTGGTGGAGGGACTGGTGGAGAGACCGGCGGACTTAGACGTTGGCACTTAAGGACAAGGGCGCCCCCGCTGCCCGGCTGCCCGGGTCGCCAGTCGGGGCAAGGGGACGTATTCCTTGTCCCCGGCCTCTGCTCGGATGGCGCGGCCGGCTGAGTGAGGGGGCGGCACGCAGGACTTCCCCACCTGGACCTCTTGTTTTCAAGGGGGAAGATGTACGAGAGTGTGGAAGTGGGGGGGCTTGCCCCCACCCCTAACCCCTTCCTAGTGGTGGATTTTTATAACCAGAATCGGGCCTGTTTGCTCCCGGAGAAGGGGCTCCCCGCCCCGGGTCCCTACTCCACTCCGCTCCGGACTCCGCTTTGGAATGGCTCAAACCACTGTATGTACCGGCCTCAGCTCTGCTATTGTAGGAGGTGTGGGTGGCGGTGGGGCTTCCACTTCTCCCCGGGGATGCAGGCCTGGGCGCGGTAGGGGTCTTGTCCCTCCCCTTCACTTTCCCTTATCTCACTTCCACTTGAGTGCCCTAGCTGGACAATTGTCCCCAGTAACCCTGGGGTGCTGTTTCTGTTATAACCGGGCTGAGGAACTTTGAAGGTTCCTCCTTTCAAGGAAGCGTTCATTCACCTCTCTTGCACTTCTTCCAGGGGACTTGAAGCCCAGCCTCTTGCCCCCAGTTTATATCTTCTTGTTTGGAATCCCATAGCTTACCAGCAGGCTGGAGGCTGGGATAAAGGTGCTCCTGTGAGCTTGTCTGATCCCAGGGGGAGGGGCTATTTCCCCAGATCCCACCCCTGCTAAAGCCTGGGGGAGAGCCCCCTCCCGTGCACATCTGCTGACCCTAGCCCCCACTCTTGTGTCATTAGAGTGGGTATCCGGAGAGTGCTCCGGCTTTGGTGCTTCCAGTGGGGTGTGGCAGAAGGGGCAACTTCACCAGATCCTAATCTACTGTCCTGACCCAACCCTTAGGTAAGGACCAATCTTAGGGAGGGGTATCTGGTTTATCTGGGGGTGTCTTGGCCCCAGACACTGGCTGGCATCGCAAAGGATTCTTTCTCCAGGAATGGAAGGAAGAGGCTGCTCTGTTGGGAATAATCCTCCTTCCTGTAGTCCTAATCTGGGTTGAGTTTGTCTTTGTGGGTCTGGGGCTGTTCTGGAAATGAGAAATATGTTATTCTCTCCTAACCCTACTGGCCACCAAATCCTTTTGTTAGTCCAGGAAATAGGGCCAGGTGTCTTTTGCTGTCCCTAAGAGGGGCACTGATGAGAACCCTGATGTCCTGGCAGTTGAGTACCTTCACCAGTCAGGGTTTAGGCTGGAGAGGGAGGGGTTTGTGTATGCCAGGGTGAACACCTGGGTGTATTCATGCCCATCTGTGAGGTGGGCAAGAACAGGCTCTTGGGGGGTTATTGTTAGGTAACTCAGATTTCTTACCCTATCCATCTGTACTCAGCTCTTCCCAAGAGGTTCTCCCACCTTCTTAGACCTGCTGCCACTCTCTTGCCTGCCAGGGAGGAATGGAGGGGGTCTCTGGGGATCCGGAAGATTAGAAAGATTAAATGGCAAAGGACTTACCCACCCTCCCGTAGCCCCTCTTGCTTCAGGAAGAGACCTGAGGTGGACAGATAGCCCACCTCTGCCCTCTCAGAGACTCCTCTACACCAGTCTTTTCTATTGTCCTGCCCCCTGACCTTTGCCTTTGGGGCTGAATCAGCTGTGAGGCTGCAGACCAGAAGGGAGGGGTGAGTGATAACCACTGGCTTTGGAAAAAGAGGGAGGTGAAAGAGGTGACATTAGAACCCTTTCCATTATCCCAGCAGTGGAGGAAAAAGTTCCCTCTTTACATGCACACCCTCCACAGGGATAACTGGGGCAGGGCTGCCAGGCCCACCCCTTTCGCTGCCTTCTCTAGAGCACTGGGGATCTGGGAATCTGAGCCCTTGGGCTTCAGCCCCTGTCTCTTCCTTAGCCCATGGGGACAGCTCAGCTCTTCCTGGCCCAGAACTAGAAGGGAGGAGGTTTGCAGAGTCCTACATGTGGCCAGTTTGGTGAGCCTGCTTCCCCCAACCACTGGATATGAGGAAGTGGAGGCCTGCTTCATACTCAGCCTGGAGTGGGTTTGAGCTAGAGGCCTGGGTTCCAGTTCCCCTAGTCAGTGTGGGGTGTGTATAGGGGGGCAGCCATGGAGTATGAGTTTGCTCTGAGGCATGCAGGAAGAACCTGTGGTGGTGGCCACTAGACCCTGTCTAGATTGCATAGGACCAATGTCACTCCTTGGTATGGTAAGGCTCTCTGGGGACTGGAGTCATTTTCCAGCCCCCTCATGGAGAATTCTCCACTCACCCCTTGCCTCCACCAAGGGTGGAAAAGAGCAGGTTTGTGTGGGAGGAGACCTACTGGATCCTGCAGGGACCTGGAGACCTTGCCTCCCTCTCCGCAGCCCCCATTTCTGTGCCCTAGACAAGGGGTGCATAGGATGTGGCGCCCCATCTGTCCCCCACCAATCTCCGCAGCTCACGCCTCCGCCCGCTCCCAGACGTCCAAGAATGTGAAGCACGTGGATGCCCGTAGTGGGGGAGGGGAGAGATGCTTATCGAGCGGCCCGCTGGGCTCAGGGCTTTCTTTCCCTGGTTGGCTGGCTGTGCTACACCCAGAGCCACCCCCACCCTCTTCCCCGGTGTAGGCAGGGCAGTTGAGAGAGGGTCCTTCGCCCCCTCCCCAATTCTCCCCAGGGTTTGTGGAAGGGAGCTGTGGAGGAGAGGGCGCCAGCTGGATTGGGAGGGGAGCCGCTGGCCAGGGGCCCGGCTGATTTCCTGCTGATCTCCTCCAGGAAACCGGCCCCTTGCGCGAGCCTGCGAAAGGCTCTGGGGCGGCTCAGGGGCGTGGGGACTCCGAGTGCTCTGCGCGCCCGCCCAGGAGGGGGAACTGGGGAGGGGCACCCTGGCAGCAGTGGCGGGAGGGGACGCCGGGCTTCCTGGGCCAGTTCCAGCCCTCTACTGGGCACTGGAACTTTGAGCTGAGAAGGTGTGGTCCTTCTTCTGCTTTAGTCCTGATTCAGGAAGAGGAGAGATTTGTGGGCTGGGGCGCCTCAGGAGGGAGGCCTGCAGGGAGGGGCCAGGGTAGTCCCTCCTGGGTGGTATCTTTCCCCCTCCCTCTAGTGTGCAGAATTATAGCTGTGCTCTAATTCGTGCAGAAGCAGAGGGAGCTTGGAGTCCCCACACCTCCGCCTTGTCCCTCCTGCCTTGCTGGTTGGAAGCCTGGGGAGGTGGGGACTGTGCCCCAGGCTCTGGGTTCAAAGGGCAGAGCAGGAAACCTTGAGCTGCGTTATCTGGGTGACAGGTGGGGATATGTTGGGGTGGGGGTATAGCTAGACTGTATTGTAGCCTAAAAGGTAGCCAATCAAGCTGCTGTGGGATGGCTGAAAGGGGCTTCACCCAGCCCAAACTGTAGCCCCAGCCCTGGGTAAATTGTAAAAAGCACATTTTTTTCAGTTCTATAAACAACCCCTGGACTTTGCCTTAGCTCCAAATTTCTATGAGCCTTTGCCCCTCTGGTGTGTCCCTGACTGGCTACTCTTCATCCTGGTATCCTGTGCCTTCCTCTGCTCCCCCTTCCTATCTGTACCCCAGAGCTCCCTCAGTTCTCTCCTCCTCCAGTCTGGTTCATTTTAGAGGGCGGGCTTAGGGCAAAGGATGGGTTAGAAGGGGAGGGGGGGGTCAAAGCTTTCTTCCCCTGCCTGTTGGAATGCTGACCAGGATTCTAGGCCACAACCCCCCCACCTCCTTGTCCTTGATGCCCCCCCCCCCCAGTCCGGATTGTCTATTGTTACTGCTTTTTACATCTTGGAAAAAGTTAGCACAACAAAGGGCTCCTTTGTTGCTCACCCCTCTGCCTCCTGGCCTCACTCAGGCCCCCCAACCCCCCCAGCAGCTGTTCGTTGGCCTCCCTGCCTGTCTGATTTGCTTGTCTGGCTTGGGGAGAATGAGATGGGGGGAAAAACAGGCCAGGACAGTTTGGTGTTGGGGTGAAGAGCAGAAGGCTGGGGGTGTAGGCATAGGTACTCCCTTCACTGCAGGTTGCTCTCTGGGCAGGAAAGAGAACATGGGCTACAGCAGTACTGGTCAGCTGGGCTGACCAGCAAAGTGGTGCCCAGGCCTTACTAAGAGCCAGGAAAGCCTGCCAAGGTTGTTGGCCTGGTTCCCTGTCATCAACTGCCTGGCATCCCCTGGTATGTTTGCAGGTAAGGGGGGAGGGTGCTGCAGCCCCCTTGTCCCCACACGTCCTTTCTCTGTTCCTGGACTTTGGGGCCATAGGACTCATGTCTGTAAGGTACTTGGACCAGGAGCTGGGGGTATTTTAAATGCCAGTTTCTTATATGCTAGAGTGTAGAGTGGAGCTTGATTGGGGTGTGTGCACAAGCATGTCCCTAGGGAAGCATCCTTACTCATCTTTGGCCCCAAAGAAGTGGATGTGGCAGGCCTCAGGAGGACGCTGGATGGCCCCTTGGGGATCGAGGATTACCTGTGTTGTAGTCCTTATCCAGCACACTACACCCCCAGTTGCCCAGGCTCTAGACATAGACATCCCCCACCCAGGCCAATCCTGTTTGGCCTGGGGTGATGGGCTTGGAGCCAGGCACTAGGGAGATTTGGCCAGTGGGGGCTGCCCATGCTGGCTGGGTCACCCCTCCTGGCTGCCCTCTTGGAGCCGAATAACAGAAGGAGAGGGGGTAGTAACCCGGACATAGTATTGAGGCCAGACAGACAGAGCATTGATGGGAACAGACCCCCTTTGTCATGATGCTTCCCCCCAGACATCGGGCACCCAGAGTGATGGGTTCCTGGGGCCATAGGGACTCTTTTCCTGTCTTCAAGGGATCTCCCTAAATATCTCTAGGAGGCCTAGCTTGCTCTACCCCAATATTTGTGATTCTTCTTTGCGCACCCTGCCAGGGGATTGTTTGGGTGGAGGAGGGGCTGTGGTTGCTGGCAGAAGGGGTGGAGGGGGGAGCGGAAGCTGAGGGGGCTGAGGGAGTGGCCGGCTTTAAATATCCTGTTGACCCCAGTTTCCTCTGCCCCCAGCTTATGTCCTCTTCTCTCCCTCCCTCATCAGGCCTTAACTCCTTCCTACCTCTGGGGAAACCAAGCCAAGATGCCTGGAGGCCGCAGCTTTGGAACTGGGCTGACTCCTGCTCCCCACCCCACAAACACAGCCATACACACACACACACACATCTGATGATTTATAATGTTGATCTTTCTGGTGTCAAAGGTGGGGTCCTGGAAAAGTAGTCAGGAGTGATGGGGGAAATAGAGGTGCCATGGCAGCCTCCTTCCTCAGGGGAAGGCTGAGAGTGCCAGCTTTCCTGAGACTGTCCCTGCCCCAGGCTTTGAATCCTGCTGCAATGGTGAGCATAGGCTCCTGGATGGGACCAGGAGGCAGGGTGGGGCAAGGTCTCTAACTGCTCTCTTCTCTTTTCTAGCCATTGAGACCCAGAGCAGCAGTTCCGAAGAGATAGTGCCCAGCCCTCCCTCGCCACCCCCTCTGCCTCGCATCTACAAGCCTTGCTTTGTCTGTCAAGACAAATCCTCAGGCTACCACTATGGGGTCAGCGCCTGTGAGGGCTGCAAGGTGAGTTGAGGAGTCATGGGGAAGGGCAGTCTTGATTAGATAAATGGGATGTCTCCAAATATGTTGCTCTTGAGACTTGGTAGCAGCAGTGGAGGCGTAGGGAACACCTGCAGTAGACCCTCCTCCTTGATGCCAGGGCTCCCCGAAACCAGTGGTGCCCTCCTGCCTAAGCTGCTTTCCCCATCTCCATCCTCCTGCTGGCAGGGCAAACATTGCTCTGCCACTGCTGCCCAGGTTGCCATGGTGAGCTGGCTGCCGACAGGCTCTTGGCTGGGGACCTAGGAGGCCTGCCCCCGGCGGCCCTGTCTGAACCTCACCATGGCAGCCGGGCAGAAGGCATTTGGGAGCAGGCACCCTGCCTTGACCTCCCCTTCAGGCACCCAGTCTGTGGTGTGGGCTTCTCATGTCTGGCTGGCCCCACCCATACCTTAGACTCCAGGTTAGATGTAGCTGTACCTTTCCAGCAGCTCCTCTCCCTGTGAGTCCCTGGGTTCTTCTTCCAGAAGTAGGGCTTACAAACTGCACAGCTTCGGGGCTGTGTTTGACTCTGGGTTACAGCCTAGAGTAGCTGTCCCCAGGTGTGAGACTCAGGTCAACAGCAAAGCCAGGCCTCAGACTGTGTGTGTCTTCTTGTCCTGTCTGATTGTTCCTGGCTTCTTCCTACCTAGTCTGACTGACTCTCCATCTGGGTGAACATGTGTATTGGTCTGGTTAGTGAACCTGTCTCGCTGCCTTCTCCCAAGTCTGTGTGATTATGAGTGTGTGCTTCTCTTCTCATCTTCTTGGCTTCTTCCTTCTTCTCATCTCTTTCTGTGTTCTGAGTGCTGGGCTGTGGGTTCCAAATCTCTGCCTCTTTCCCATCCAGGCCCATGTGTTCCTATTCCTGACTCATCAGCAGCAGCCTTGAGGTCCTGTCCCCTCAAGGGAGGAGTCGTTTA